ATTCCTTTGTTCTGGTTGAACTACTGCCTCTTGATTTATGCATAGATTCTGCATGAGCACAACTAAGTGCTCTGGAATTCTCATTCTTTGTAATGTTATTCATAATTTATTAAATCATAGAATTTGTTAAAACATAAAATTAGTAAAGAGATTTGACAGATTACAGAAGCCTTTTAAGCCCTTAAGTCACCTGTGGTGTAGACCAGTCCTCTAAACTTACGAACTCTGTGTTTGGCAGAAATTTATAAATTTGTGAACAGGTCTAACTTTTCACTGGAGGATACAGTAGGTTTTCTCAACAGACAATAGAAAATATAATCCTGAAAATTTCATTTCATAAAATGATGAAGTCTCATCTAGAATAAAAGACAAGATCACTTGTAGATGCAAAAAATCCCTCCAATCTGAAGTGACTGAGCCAAAAAATATCTTAAAAACATCTGAGAAGAATGTTGAACAATGTCTAGAAAAATATTTAATGGTTTCGATGAAAACACTAAGCTTCTGGAAAGCCTAAAGCTGCTTGTCCAAGATGATAAATGAAAGGAAAGCGTACAACAATTGAAAGAAGAGAAAAAAGTTTGACAACTTCAACACACAAAAGGAAAAGATTGTAAACGATAAGGCAGCCAGTTAAAATTTCTGTCTGAAACTGTAGTGAAGATAATAAATTTACCAGCTTTCTTTAAACAAGATAACAGGGACAATGGCAACCAGGAAAATGGCAAAAAAGAATGAACCAGAGAATGAATGACACTATAAAATAAATAGACTTAGCAGGCTTATATATAACACTCTACCCAACAACAGTACAATATACATTTTATTCCACTGCACGTGGATCATTCCCCGGGATAGACCACATGCTAGATCATAAAGCAAACGTTAGTAAATTTAAAAAGATTGAAATCATACAAAGAAATTTCTCTGATCATAATGGAGTGAAAGTAGAAATTAATAAACAGAAAGAAAACTGGAAAATATACAAACAAATGGAAATTAAATGACACACTATTAAACTACCAATGGGTCAAGGAAGATATCAAAATGAGAAATTAGGAAATACAGACAAATGAAAATGAAAGCACACTGCACAAAAAAGACCAGACATACGGGCCTGATAGAGACTGGAGAAACCCCAAGAGTATGGCCCCCAGACACGTTTTTAGCTCAGTACAGAAGTCACTCCCGACGCTCACCCTTCAGCCAAAGATTAGACAGCCGCATAAAACAAAATGAGACTAATGGGGCACAACGGCCCAGGGACAGGGACTGGAAGGCAGGAGGGGACAGGAAAGCTGGTAATAGGGAGCCCAATCTTGAGAAGGGAGACAGTTGACATGTCATGTGGTTATTAACCAGTGTCATAAAACAGTATGTGTACTGTTTAATGAGAAGATAGTTTATTCTGTAAACCTTCATCTAAAGTAAAATTTTAAAAAAGAAAAACAAGTTTTGCATTATGAAAACCTAAAGGATGCTCTTATCCATGACACTATAGATCATCTTGTTAAATGTTGTTAAAAATCTATGCACTGTAACCAATAAATAATATTTTAGCTAAGCTATAAACTAATCTTTACAAGTAGCTAGGTGACTGTTGTTGTTGTTAGGTGTTGTTGAGTCATTTCCAACTCACAGCAACCCTATAGGACAGAGTAGAACCACCCCATAGTGTTTCCAAGAAGCAACTGGGTGGATTTGAACTACCAACCTTTGGGTTAAGAGTTGAGCTCTTAACTACAACACCACCAAGGCTCCAGCTAGGTGACTAGGCCCACTGAAACCAGAAGGCTGATTTCATTATTCATTAACTTTCACTTAAATTTATTATTCCATAAATAATCAAAATTAATAAGTACATGCTATTTTAAAGATTAATAAACATATACTTTTTTCAAGATTAACGAACACATCCTATCTTCAAATGAACATCTTGTTTTCAAGATTGATGAACATATTCTGTTTTCAAGATTGATGAACATATCCTGTTTTCAAAACTTCTAACCAACACTTAATGATCTTCTGATTGTCTTGTAATTGTTTAGCAAAGTTATGTAATTATCAACCAATCAGAAATTTTGTTCTAAAGTTCGTGATATTTTTGTATATAAGCACTTTAAGAATCCTAACTAATCGGAGCACTCATTTACTGGGTAAATGATGTGCTGCCCAACTTGAACATTGTCTATTAAATCCACATAACAATCTGTTCTGAGTTGCTTATAGTTTGAGAGTGTACAAGCTGGAAAGCAAACACACTCACTGTATTCTTACAAGAAGAGGAAGGAAGAAACTTGAGCTCTTTTGTAGCTTCTCTTATTCAAGTGATGCTGCATTCCTAAACCAAAAAAAAAAAAATTGCTGTTCGTGTTGATGCCAACTACTAGTGACCTTATAGCAGTTGAACTGCACCATGGGGTTTTCAAGGCTGTAATCTTTATGGAAGCAGACTGAGACTTTCTCCCATGAAGGCGCTGATAGGCTCGAATTGCCAACCTTTAGGTAAGTAGCTGAGCGCTTTAAGCAGTGAGACTCCAGGGCTCCTTGCTGCATCCCTACTTTAGGAAAATTACTGGCTTCTAAGTCTGGTACAGAACGAATGGGTCATAGCAGGGTATCAGTTCCTAAACCACTTAAAGAGATTGGAGGAAGAGTCTCCCTTACTTTTGCTATTGTTTGACGCCTCATGGCAGCTGTTAGAACACTATCCAGCAGCTTTTGAGTTTTCTGAAACTTACTTGGCTGTGCTGTATTGCAGTACCTGGATTGTACTGTTTGGTGCCTTCCTGTTCAACTGTCCTTACCAGTGGGTGAAGCAAAGCACATTAGTCAATGCTGTGGTGCAGTTCCTTTTTTTTTTTAATAATTGCAGTGCACTAAATTGTATATTGGATATATAAAATGTAAAACTCTCTTAACTACCATTTTAAGCTGAAATTTCTGTATGAGTTTAAAAAATTATACAAAAATCTAGGAACTTATTTTATTTTTATGAATGAGCATTTTATGTGTTTCTCTCTGATGTAAATTGTTGATAACCAATTAGTCTAAAGACATAAAATATTTCACCCACCTAAAAAAAATACAAACCTAAATCAAATGTTCACCAGTGAAGCATATCAATTCATTGTATCATGTAAATGTAAAATGACATTGAGGTAGTGCTCATAAACGTGGAAAGAAAATACCTGAGTTAATAAATTTATTCTGTATACTCCCAGTTATTTCCTTCAGTTAACACTGAATCTTGGATAAAATTCCACGTCATACTGACTTACCACTTTAAAAGCTAAAAACCACTATCTCCTTGTTTTCACTGTAATGAGATGAGCAGCAGATGTGGGAAAAGGTGTTGAAGGTAACTTGTATTGAGAGCAATACTAGACATTGCTTTTGAGGTCTTGAGAGTTAGTGACTCACCTGTGGAAACATAAATGCTATTTGTCTTCAAGGGAAACGGTCTGACTTTTATCAGTAGTTTTAATATTTAGAACTCCCCATGACCTAAGCTTAGAAATATTGAAAGTGTAGTTATGAATTTGAAACTCATGCTCATAGTGAATAAAGGAGGGAAGCACACTATGTATAATTTGATTATTTATGGTAACTTAAAACCGGAACAAACAAAAAGCAAACCTGTTGCCGTTGAGTCGATTCAGACTCATAGTAACCCTACAGAACTGCCTCATAAGGTTACCAAGGAGCGGCTGGTGGATTCCAACTGCCGACGTTTTGGTTAGCAGCCGTGCTCTTAACCACTGCGCCACCAGGGCTCCTTATGGTAACATAGGAGGTAGAATTTCAACATAGACACACTTACTGATTATTAATGTTCATCACTCACACAATGAAATATTTGTCCTATTTCCCTCAAGCCCCTCTACCTCTCCATTTTTGATTGGGGACCTGGAAGAGGTTTCAAATAATGCAAACAAACAGGATTTAGGGAAAAGCTGCTACTCAGCATACAGGCTTTCTCCTGTGGGAAAGCACCCTCATTGTACAGGTGGAAGCCAATGCAGAACAGGACACACAGAATACAGCTGCAGCCTGGTTCAGCTTGCAGGGCCCTGGTCTGCTTCCAGTAATCTAGAGCCGTAGGAAAGTGCTTACATGAGGGAAATGAACATTTCCTGTTTTGATGCTTTAAAAACGGTCCTGTCTTGGTTCCCTAAGGGATGTATACCTTTGGAGAAAAATCAATTACACTGTATTGATAAACTAGTGTATACTAGTATATACTATACTAGTGTAATTAGCAATACGTTATTTTTCCTCTGAAGCTACTGGATGCTTGGATTAACATTCAGAACTCTGTTAGTTTTGTGGTTTCTATGAGTCAAAAATGGACTCCACAGAACAAAACTACAACAGCAGGACAACACACTGTTATGCAAAGACTTCTATTGATCTATCAAAACCCTACCCCATCCTGATTGTCTACTTTTTACTTTTCATTTCCCACATTTTTCATTGCTTAATAAATTATCCTTGTTAAACAAATGTGGCACGTTATACTTGCAGTTTCTAATTCCGTATGTATCTATGTTATCCAAACACATATTACACTAAAATGATGGAACACCCTGAATTCAGTTATGCTTTTGTTTGAACTTTTCCTATTTCTCATATCCCATACTTCAGAAATATCATTATTCTCAAAATCGTTCACTTTTGTGGTTAAAAATGAAAAAAAAAATACTTTAAAAGGGGCAAGAATTTACAGTCCATTTAGTAAAATATCCTTCTCACAGCATACGTGCTCCTAGTTTTATAAATGGAACTCAAGGGCAAATTGAATTCATACAAAATTTTGCTTAAAAATCAAAATTTACTGACAGCAAACAGTCCCATTTCTATCATATACAAGACAGTAGAGCAAACATGCTTAGCTTTTTGTTTACTTTGAAAAGTTTTTCATTTTTCTCCCTTCCCTGTACATAAGGTCCTCCATGAGTCCTAATCAACTCTGACAGTGGGTTTGGTATTGTGGAAGGTTGGCTTTGTCTTTGCATATTCTTACTTGGAATCTCTGTATATATATTGACATAATTTACTAGAGATTTGTTATGTTAGAAGCAACTTATTTTGTCTTCCATTTTTTTAGCAGTGTTTCTCTTACTTCCTTGTTACGTAGCGTATAGATGAAGGGGTTTAGAACTGGAGTCACCACAGTGTTCAGGACGTGGACAGCCTTGGTCAGATCTAAGGCATCCTTGATTGAGGTGCGGACATGAAGGAAGATGGTGGATCCATACCAGATCAACACCACAGTTAGATGAGAGGAGCATGTGGAGAAGGCTTTACTCTGGCCGCTGGCCGAGGGGATCCTGAGGATGGTGCTAATGATGAAGATGTAGGAGACCAGAGTGATGAGGCAGGAACTTAGAATGACCACAAAAG